GGGTTTCAGCCTTTTCCATCACAGCCAAGAGATCAATCTGAAGACTAGAATCTAATCTTGTCCTCTGTTCTTCAGTTTGTTACTGCCTGGTGATACTCATAATTATGTCCATCCCTTGGGGAACTACTTTCCACCCTTAATGGTTTGTTATAATTCTCTTGGATATGATGGAATCAACAGAATCATTGTCTGGTACAATTATTTCTTTCATTGATTGTTTCTGGGCATCTTCCATCTTCATTTGCCATCTTCATTTCATTTCCTCTTTTCAGCATCGTCCTTCTTGCACAATGGTCACCCCTGAGCATATCCAGTAGTCATCTATTCTGGTTCCTAACTTGTAGGTGAAGGCTTTTTGAGGGCTGAGATCACAATTTGTGATGGTAGAGCTAGCTCAACAAACACTTTATGTTTTCTCTGTGTTACTCCACTGTATTGAGAATGTGTGCTTTTTTTTTCCATACCACGCTTTGGAGCTCCTGCTCCCCACCCTATCCAGAGATGGGGAGAAATCTTGCAACAGAAATAATTGCAAATGTACCCTCCCTGTGCTGCAAAGATCAGTGAGCCTGTGAAGTTCTGGTTGACACACAGCAGTAGGACATGTGCTGTTACATCTATAAAAGTCAGTCTGTTTATTTTTTTAGCCAGTGGAAGTCTATGTGTGTTTCATAAACTGTGTTTTAAATTATAATCTGAGTGCTATTGTGATTTGTGGCAATTGCAACAGGAATCTCTGTTGCTTTCTTGTGAAATAGAAGCAAAATTGCATAATCCACATAATTTTCATGTTGGCCTCTCATATGCATTCAGATCTGATTAAAACAATCTCTCCTGCCATCCTGTTTGTATATTTGTAAAGGTCAAATGTGTGATTAGGCTTGACTATTTAGCTGCAGGATACAGTCAGATTTTTACAGCATCTGTAATGTGATATGCACAGAAGACTGTCTGCCTCTGAAAAAGGACAGCTATTGGTCTTGAGGGTCACAGGCACATTTTTTCATATGTACTTTGTGCAAGTGGTGGTGCCAAATCCAGTTGAGCCAAAGGGTGAAGAGTGATCCTGACTGGAAGGCTGTGGTGTTGCCTTGGCAATGCACAATATTGAAATGCTGTTAGTCTTGAGTCAATTATCTTTTTTGACCTTTACACTCATGTTGCACTCAGAACACTTAGTGCAATAGTTACTTATGGGGAAGTAAATATAATTCGCATTATCTTTCCTGTCTTTGAACAAGTGGAACACCATTCTCAGTACATCTAGTGCAGTATCTTTGAATGCTGTAGCTGTTTTCTCTGGGCCTGTGGCCCAGCTATAGCTGCCAGGGTAGCACTTGGACATGTAAACCTGCCAGTGGTTACCAAACATTGTGTGTGTGTTTTGTGTTTTAAGTAATATTGACAAATACCTTTTATGTTCTGGAGAAACCAGAAGGACACAGTTTGTCTTTGAAAAGTATAGTGACATAAACATGTTGTGTGTATTTCATGAGGATGTATCCATCTGGATATAAGGGAATTATATTAACAGCCTTTGATAGAACATGAGGCACTCAGAATTTTATTCTAAGCTACATCCCTGTTTTAACATAGAAAGTGGAGGCACTGGAAATGTGCTGTCCTGAAAGACACCAAACATATGAAGCAACAGAGGTTTAGATTCAGGGCCTGAGGAGGTCTGAATTTAATTTCCAGATCTGTAATAGATTCTCTGTGTTATTTTGAAAAAAATACTTTTGTCATTCAATGCCAGAGTTTCCTCTTCCTGTGAAGAGGCAAAAAATTTTGCAATGCTGCTTGCAATTTTGTACAGTCTCCTCTGGCATCTCCACACGCTTTTCTGTAAGTGCCTGTGGCACTGCTCCTCTGTATCATTTTGTACCCTCTGACAGTCGGGTCTGAAGCTTCCCAAATGAGGTTGATTGTTACTTTAGGAAGCATAGGAAATACTTAAGTTGACTGACTTTTTTCTGCCAAAGCTGAACTTCTCAGAGACTCATCAGTAATGCAGATCCAGGGGGGGTCTTTAGATTGTTCCCAGTGACTTCTGCATAATCAGAATCTATTGGCAGCTACCAGCACGTGGATAATCTGTATAAATGAGTTGGTGTTTACATCCTGCTTCCTCATCTTGGAGTTACCTTATCCTTTTAATCAATAATGTTGTGGTTATTCACAGTCTCTGAAGAGGCCAAGAGTACAACAGTATTGAAAGAATGAGGGTGAAGTGATACAGGCTGAACAATGGATTACATGGACATTTCTAGTCAGGCTTTTGTTGGTTTGTACTTTCAAACACAATCTATCCTGGTTATTCTATGAGTAAATATACACATTTACTCTTTTATTTTTAAAATATTTTTTAACAAAAGCTCCATCAGAATTCTGTTTCAGGTTCAAAGTAAAATAGAATAGTTACATTAAATGAGTATAATACAATGGACAGATGAGACCCCTTCCATTTCTTAATATTCTTACCCCTTGTGGTAAGAATCCTGTAGCTCTCTGTGGAAAAGAGTTCAGACTGTGAAATAAATTCCATCTGGCAGTCACTTCTCCCATCTCCACATCTAGAACTCATTAGAACTAAACTGAATTCTTGAAAATGAAATTAACTTTCCTACTTAGACAGTGATTTGGATCCATTTGGTCCTCTTTACGGACCTTTTACATCCTTCAGATGTAACTTCTCAGTTCCTCAAAAATGCATGAAATGGGAAAATTGAGTGCATTTCTGTTTTCCACCTCTGTTGGTGGAAATTCTTTTGGTTGGCTGCACCCCTGAAAAACCACAAACTGCTCCTTCACAAGCCTCAGTCCCAACTGAAGATACTTGCTGTCTGAACCTAGTTTTACTTTACATAAGATTAAAGCCACTTTTGTGATCCCAGTATATGAAATAGCTGAGTAAACACTTGTGTAATATATGCACAATATACTGCTCTTAGTGAAGCCTAAACCATACTCTGCCATGGCATCTACTGGTATTACAGGTGTTAATACCTGTGCTAATTACAGGTGTTAACTGCCTGCAGATGTATTTAGAGAGATTGCTGGATCAGTTATCCTGTGCAGGAACGTTGCATTTAAAGTAGTCAAAACTTTATTAACTATCCCTGTCTTTCCTGATTGTCTCCTCCCATTTTAAGAGAATTTACAAGTGTTTTCCATGGGAGGTTCTGGACTGCGTACAGCTGGATCTGCTTTGGCAGGGCAATTGCAGGTGGGCAGTGCACTGGTACGATGCAGGTCGAGGGAATCTGTTTAATCTCACTAGATGAGTAGTTATGGGATGAAATGGCTGAGGACAGACAAACCAGGATTCTGATGGGACAAATATGCTCTATGCAGAGTTTTTGGGTACTTACAGAGGGATCTTAGGGTCAGTGCAGTGGCTCTGTCTCTTCAAAGAAGAGACAGCCTGTTTTTATTTGCTGGTCTGGTCAATCATATATACAATCCCTCTAATTCTGAATATTTTAGGATAAGTCTGCGAAGAATTCAACTTCTTCCCTTCTAAGAGAAAATTCTTAGAAACTCACAGTCCACCAATTACATAAACCTTCTAATAGCATAAAAGGAATATTCTGGCATGGCAACTACCCCCATGCTTTTCCATTGCTCAGAACAGGGGATGTCTAGGCCCTTGACAAACTGTCAATCATTGATCATCAGTTTTATGGCATTACAGCAAGCCATGTAAACACACTAAATCATTAGCTTTTGTTTCCTGAAAGTGCATAGGTTGACTCTATTGCCTGTGGGTTTTGTGGTCCTTTGATGTGAAGCTCCTTCTGTTTTCTGTTTTGCTTCATTTTGGTTTTATTTTCAATTTGAATTATTTTGGGTTTTTTTTATTGGATTATGGAAGGAATACTTGAGATATCCTAAACAACTGATCTTTCCCTCTGCTGCTGTGTTACATGGAATCAGCTGATCCATGCTGACTTTGGTCCCAGTTCTGAATACTTATGAAGAGCAGAGGCAAGTCTTTCCTGTCTCTAATCTCATCACTCTTCACAGTGTTTCTTCACCCTGCCTAACTTTTCTATTATCCTTTTATTGTCTCTGCTTCAGTACGTTTCCCTCTTAGTACTTAGCTTTCTTTAGCAAATAAATTTTCTTCTGTTATTTTAAGAGGTTTATCTGTCTAATGTTCTAGGTTTTTAACTCTTATATGTCAGTGTTGTGAACAATTTGCTGTCAAAAGCTTTTGTTTATTTTCCTGAAACCCTGAGGCTAAAAGCAAAAAGTTGCTATATGTAAAACTCAACCCTGCTATGGATACAACTAACAGTCTGTCAATAGAATAGGTTATTTTGGTTTTGAATAATAACTTCCATTAAAAGTTGATTAGTTCATGAGGAGATCTCAGAAGAGTGTATTTATATGTATATGTAGTAGGTATTCTTATATAAAAGAAAAAGTATTAAACAGAGTCCTTTCTGGACTCTGCTTGCATTTTTCTCAGGGTTGGTATTATACATAATGAGAAAAAGGTAGAAAAGAACAAATTCTAGGAATAAATCATATTACCTTCATTTATGATGCAGCAGTTTAGACCTGGAAATGTTTCTGCAATCACTGTTTGAAGCAGAAGTTTTCCTTCAGCTAGGAAAATAAAAAGTCACTGTTTTGAAAACATCTTATTGATGCAATACCTAGACTGATTCTGTTCTCATTAGCACAGCTTCTTAGCCCCCAGTTTAATTGGTGTCAGTTACTGTTACACAATGTCAATCTGGTGGCAGTTTAAGCCTGAGCAGTATAGATTACAGTGAGGATGGATTTGCAGACTTAATTTTTATTTTTTTACCAAATCCTTAAAATACATGGAGGAGATGGCAAAAAAAAAAAAAAAGACAACTCTGTATATCCCAAATCTTGAAGTGCTGCTAATTGAAAGAGCAGAACTGGCTCAGAGATGTTCATGGGAACAAAAGGTGACCATTCAAATGGCAAGGTTATGACAAACCTCTTTTACCATTTTCTTACAGATACTCTCCTCAAACGGGAAATACCCGGTGTTCAGCAGCCCATCAAAGCGGGTGTGCAGTCTCTGAATAAGATCGTGCAGGTCCAGAAATTGCTTCTAGAAAAGCAGCAGCTACCTCCCAAGGGAAGGGTAACCCTCGGCCATGTGAAACGGGATGTGCCTTCTCTTGAAAGCCCTGAAGGGCAGCAGGAACCTCACAGCTGGCAGAAACATCGCCCTCTTCTGGGAACAGAAATGCGAAGTTGTTGAGAATGTTTTTCAAAAATGCAAATGAGCTGTTTTCAACTCTTTTATATTTATGACTGTATTACTGTGAGACTGTTAAGAGTTTTAATTTTGTAGTTACCCCACCTGCTGTTTCATTATTAAAGCCTTGGGTCTGATTAATCAAAAATGTATTCTGCAGTCAGATCACAGCAGTTGTATAAAATTTGTAAGCATGACTATACTGTGAAAGCTATTCATGACCAAAACAACTTCTAAAGTTTCTGATGTGTCTTATGAGGAAGCAGTATGGTAAAATGGGTAAAATGGGTAAAATTATGCCTAGAGGCAAAACAGAACCATGATGCTGCTCTGAGGGATTTTCTTTCCTTTCATGTAAAACCCCCCTCACCCATACACACTACATGCAGAGGGAGAGAGTTCATGTGCAAGTTATTTTCATGAGAGCACTTGAAGATGTAGATACCAAAACGATATGGCTGACACATGGCAAAAATCATAGGAAACCTTGGTAAATTCTATCCCCTACACCATGCAGTTTAGTGCAATTCTGTGTCTCTAAGGGAAATTGTCATTGAGCCATTTGTTTCAAAAATCAAATATTGTATGAGGAGGGTATCAATGAATCTTCACACTTCACTTAGATCAATAAACCTCTTTACATCAGTCTTCAGCTTTCACTGCCTCCCAACTTTGCTGAATTCTTACAACAGAAGATGTGATGAGAACTTGTAGTTCATGTTTTCATGGAAGTTTTCATTTGATATTTGAATAGCCTTCACTGTCATGTAGTCTGGGGTTAACTTATTTCTTCAGTTGTTGTGGAATATATGCTTCCCCTACGTATGTTTGTACAGAAGCTAACACCAGAATGTTGCTTGTATCTGGACTTTTTTTCCTTTACTACAGCTGTTAGTAGCTTGTATGGGAGCTCGTGTCAGAATTTTTTCATATTGGTGCTGCCATATTCAGCAAGTTTAATGAGGTAAAAAATGAAAGCAGCTCTGGAAAGCAAGTTTGAGGACAGTAGTGTCCAGAGTTGAGAGGGACAGAAGGTAACAGCAGAGAGGTTCACACTGAGGATAGAATTTGTTTACTTATGCAGCACAAAAAGATATTAGCAGAAATAGTGTAGATGGATAAATTCTTCAGACTAATGGTTTCAGTGCAGCTGAACACTGTAAATCACAGATTTCCCTAGTCTATTAGACTCAGAACAGAACGAAAACAGCTTGTCTGATGTCTGGAGCAGCTCAGAGAAACACTTAATATTAATTCATGAGGAATATGCTATAAGAAGTCTGTTAAGATTAATTTTACAAAGGAAAACTTCCAATCATATGAATTACATTTTAAAGAAATAAAATGAACTTACTTTTGGGAGCCCAGTCCTTAGTTGACCTTTCTGGTTGCAAAGCAATTAGTTCCATTACAATGCTTTGGCAGTGCAAAAGGCACTGGGGAATGGCAAAATGTTCTCTGGAACTTAATGAAAGTGAATGGAGTTTTTAAAAGAAGAAAAGAACCTGCTAAAACCAGAAGTGCATCTCTCAAGCTGATTCCAGTCCCACTCATGTATGTGCTGTTTAGCTCAAGGAAGGAGTTTCATTTTCTGAACATGTTTGATGTACCTGGTTAAAGACTAACACCAAGCTGCTGGAACAAGGCACCTTGCTCCAGATAGTTACCCACATGTTCTGACTGTAGTGCCATCAGAGGGAGAGGCAGTGTGAAAACATTCCTTGCTTTTGCCTTCATTTCATGTCATTTCTGCCAAGTGCTGTCTTTGGCAGAAAACGTGACTGGCTGGAACTTCACTTTGGGTATCAGAAGCCCAGTGCTGAATATCAGCAACATCACTCAGCATTTTCAGGGAGAACTAAAATGGACATAAAGCTTATTGAGTTTTCTTTATGAATTATGTGCAATCTTGCACTGCCTGCCTTTCTCTTCTTTGCCCTCACATGGTAGCTAGTTACTCTAGAGAATTCTTACCAAAAGAAAATTGAATATAGACTGTTTCAGCCTTTGAAACTAAATTCTCAGCCTCTTTTCTTATATCCTGTGAATGTGGTGATATAAAAGAGATTGAATCTGAAACTTAATAAGTAGTAGTAGAGTAATATGCTACTGAAGGAGGGACGTTGGAGGGATTTGATCTTTTAAATAGCATTATAAAAACCCCAAAAAACTTTTTAAATAATGTAAAGCCATACCACATGGTTTTCAGGGGAGCATGTTGTGATACATGTATTGTGCCCAGCCTGTGCAGAAAAAGGGTGTGTTGCACATCAGCATGGAAACATAAGAAATCTAAGAAAGTGTGGTTCAACCTACCACTGGTCATTTATGTCATCTGCAAAGGTCAGCTGTGGTGAAACCAAAAATGAGACATGTTTATAAGATGTCTGTTCTGTTACTTCCTGTGATGTTTAGGGTTCTGAGCTTTGCCTGAGTAACTGTGTGCATCAGAACAGGCAGAAGTTGTCTTTCCTTCAAAGTATTTTCAGCAACATCCTAGGAATACTTTGCTATTCATGATGCTCAGGGTTTTGTTGTTCGGTTTTTTTAAATGCAAGGACAGTAGACATCAGTAAGAATGAGGGATGTGCAGCTACCTTCCTTTTAAAGATCTCAAAAACAAGGTTATTTGAGCATTTAATTGAATTTAGGTATAGAAAATTATTTTTACTCATATCTTTCTAAAAAAGGGTTTAATAGAAAAATATGTTGGAGAATTGATCTAGAAGGATGCTCATTTGGTATTTATCCACACTTTAAGCATTAGAGGTTTCAGTCTAAGAATCCCAACCAGGCTGTGGAATCCCAACTGCTTTGGGGCAGTGCCATTTCATTCCCCTGGTTAAACATAACCTCTTGTATTTGAACTCCCAAGAACCACAACTTACACAAAAGAGAAGAAAAAGTTGTTCTGGGAAATGCATTTCAAAGGGGTCTGATTACTAAGACTCTTTGTGGAGAGGGGATAGATCTTCCTGTTGCTTTTTCTGACCCTGGCTTACTTGCTGATGTCTTACATCATTAATTTAGAATACTTTGGCTTTGGAAGCTCCATCAATCCTTTCAGCAACTTGGGTATTTAAGTGTGATGCTTAAAGTTAGCAAAGTTGTCCTTTATTAGCAATATGGGCACACATCTTTAAAAATCTCAATTTTAATAGACAACATCAAAGCAATGTGGTAGGGCAATCAAAACCACAGAAGTACTGGGCAGAGGAAAAACTAGCATGATAATGAATAGAAAATAATTTGCCAAGAAATAAGGAGAAGATTGCCTAGACTTCAGGAACACAAGGTGGGAAATGTTGCTTTCTTTTTGTTTTTTATCTGCAGTATAAAATCTGTAGTCTAACAATTTCAGTTAAATGCAGTGACCTGGTGAAAAATATCAATATTTATTAAAAAGCAGTGAATTAGGCTTGTGGAGCAGTTAACATTGCAAGGGGATCTCTGGAGATGAAAATATTCCACCTTTACTGGTAAAAAAAAGGTTAAATTAATATCAACATTGAATTTGAAGTGAATAAATAGCAACTCTTTATTTACTATCTAATACATTTACTTCTGGCTGAAAATCTAGAAACAAAAATGCAAATTCTTAACACAGTTTTCTCTGTCTTACCAAGTACTATCTGCTTCTCATCTGTGTTCAAGGGCTACACTACCTTTAGTTCAAAGAAGCTTTGCAAAATCAAAGGGAGTCCAAATGTGCACATCTTTACAGTATCAAAGCAAGTTGTGTGGTGGTTGGTAATTTTTCTTGTAAGATAAAACTGGTTTTGCCTCATATGCTTACCACTGCACTGAAGTGTTAAGGAAATAGGTGATTATTCAGCTATGCTTTACCCATGTTGAGTTTCCATAGCAGTCTTCTGTTACAGTGTTACAGGCACTTTGGATATTGTGTGTAACAGGGCAAGGAATTTATCAGATCTCTCCTGCAATGATGCAAAACAGTGTGAAGGGACAGGGCTATGGACTTACTGCAAGTCAGTACTGTTATTTCTAATTGTCCTTATAGCAAAGGGGGAGTTGCTGCTGTACTGACACTCTCACTCCCAGCAGCTGTACCATGCACCAGCTTCCTACAGAGAAAATTCTTTGCTTCCCTCAAAGCGATTTTCCATCCAAAACCAAGTTGTACACGTATTTAAGATAAAATTTTGCAACCGAATTGTTGTTTAGAATGTAGCTTAATGTATTATCTGAGGTAATTCAGAAGTACTAATAACACTTTCTAACTGTAAATGGAACTGTTGCTGGCCTCAGTTCTATTATCTGGAGTAGATCACTTGAATAAAATATATGTATTGAATTTTTTAAGTATATTTTGGCTAGAAGTTGAATATGGAGGGCATTATGCATATGTATTAAAATTCTTTGTATGCAAAACTGAGAAATAGGAATAGCAAGCCCTCTTATGTATGAACATTGCAGCATCCATTTCATTAAAATAAGGCTGTTTCATCAGCTCCATGCTGGCAAAATATTAACATTTAAAATTCATTGATGCTGTGTGATCTAGGGTTAGATACCATTTTGTAGGGAGTTTGGCTGGATTCAGATCCTGCAGTGCTTGGTAGGTTACCCAGTGGATTCTGCTTTGGGTCTTCGATGTTACAGCCTTGGAGTGCTGCTTTATCCGGTGGTTCAGAGCCACCTCTTGTAGTGTGGGGAAGCTACACAGAATTCAGGCTTTATCTTAGTACTAGGATATCCTGAACTTTCTAGTTCCTGAAAGTAGTGACACTTTTCTGACCTTCCTTAGGGGGGGCTTGCATAATTTTAAGGGAACCTTGAAGTTTACAGTTTTCCTGTTGATACCAGTGAATAATCAAGTCCCAGCCAGACAGGCACTGCCCAAATTTTTCTGTATGTGAAGTCATATTTCTGAAAGCAAAATAAAGTATGCAAAATGTCCTGTCTTAACTGGTGCCCAGGGCGTGTGTCGGTCAGGCTTAAAGCTTTCCAGAAAGCTTTGGTGGGTTTAAAATTCATCAGAACTTCAAAGTATTCTAGGTCCTTATCAGATCAGGAAGGAGGGGAGCGAGTGGGACCCAGTGCGTGCAGCATGTTCAGGTCATTCTGTGATTACATTTTTTTAATCCCCCCACTTCATAAAAAGTCTGGGGCAGTAGTTTGTAACTGAACATCTAATGGAATACAGAGTACTGTATTAGATAGGTATAATGGATCACTGCAGGAGTTTTCACTGCTGCTTTCAGTCATAGGCTATGAATGTGCCAGATACAGCTTGAGATTTGATTTGATTCGTTACTCAGCCCTCTGGCTGCACCTATACACAGAACAGGTTAAAGTGCTATTTCTTGACTGAAAGGCCACTTGGAACTTGGAAGTTCTAGGAGTAAAGCAGGTAGAGCAGCTACAATCACAGACTCATAGAATGGTTTGGGTTAGAAGGGATCTTAAAGATTATCGAGTGCTACCCCTCCCTTCCCCTGCCGTGAGCAGGGACACCTCCCACTTGATCAGGTTCCTCAAAGCCCTGTCCAGCCTGGCCTTGGAGCACTCCCAGGGATGAGGCATCCACAAGATCTCAAGGAAGCCAGCTCCAGTTCTTTACCACCCACACAGTAAAGGATTTCTTCCTAATGCAGTAAGAAAGGCTTGAATCTTTTGTTCTTTTTAACAGTTTGCTCATCCTTTCAGCCAGCATTGCAAGCCTGACCCAAATACCTCTGTTGAAAGTTCCTGTGTGACATTGCATACTTTTGTTAGAGTCCTCAGAAAAGGAAGGCAAAAAACATTTTTACATCAGTTAGACAATAGCATGAAATCAGGAAAAACATCATATGTTGGCTCAGCATGGTGAGTCCCTCGTGTGTGTGTGCTCAGTCCAGGTAAGAAATTTAAGAGTTAGGAGGGAATCCAGTGACATAACAGCAGAATGTCCTGGCTGTGATTAGTAACAAATCTTGGAACAAATAGGAAGAACAACAGAAAGCTGCTGGTGATAAGCCTGGCATAAAATGAAGAGAGCAGAGAGAGCTTCTGTTCCACACTGTAGGCTGTGGTCCATTCAGGAGACTGCTGCAAACCAAACAAGGGAGGAAAAGAAGGGAGAGAGAACACCAGTAGCACTATAGACAGTGTGTGTTTCCACAGGTGGAACACCACAAAGCTCTATGGCTATCAGATAGAACAAAAAATAAGAACCAGTTGACATTCCAGATGGCAGGAAAAACTACACACCCACTCATACCCCTGTCATCCCCTCCCACCACCCCTGCCCAAACAACGCAAAAAAACCCTGTCTGTACATCATGTGCTTAATGACTGCCTTACAACACAGAGATATTTGTGCCTGCAAGATCCATTGGAATGGAGAATGGTGATTCACCTTCATGGGAAATTTGGTTTTGTATCATTGCATCCCTCTGTGTAACACAGAAAACACCAAAGTCCCACGAAAACAATGTTGCCTTTTCAAGAATATTGAAAGGAACAAGAATAAAGCTCAGAACTGGTCTAGAAAAAGAAACCCACTGGTTTGTTAATGCTAAGAATTTGTCAGAGAGGAAGGAGTTTTCTTGAAGACCAATCATTTATAGTCTTTAGGATTATGATGAGGTACAGCCATTAAATATGTATGGAGAGAATATGAGTCAGCTATGTTATAATTTCCCTGAACATATATTAAAAGACTGTGATATTCCATTCATGAAAAATGGGAAAGAGCTGAAGGAGGATACATGAGACACAGTTTTACAGTGCTAATCTTCAGGTTTTTTTTTTGTTGTTTTTTTGTTAGACTCTATCCTTTAATATTGGTATGAATAATGCAAAAAGGCAATGCCCTGACAGTTATTTTAGATTCTGCTTTTTACATTGCTTTACAGTTGCTGATTATATTCTGATACCATGGAGAACTGATACAGAGAATCTTGAATTCCAACAACTGTTGCTGTTGACCAGGAAACTTGTAAAAAACACTAAATCTCAAGATTTAAATGGTGGAAAATTGTGCATGTTCATTTATTTCAGTGGCATTA